ATTTATTTATAGTCCCATAGACGGCACTGGTGATACTTAGAACAAGCCTCTGAAATTCAACAATATAAAGTAGAAAAGACACAGGCAGGCACCCCGAGTTGAAATTGAACCCAGGACCCTGGAACTGTTGGGCAGTAGTACTAATCAGCAAATCACTGTCAGCCCTAGTCTTTCCAAATGCATCCCGAGTGGCAGTTCTAAGACCAAAGTGCACTACAGTGGGCTTGGCGTAGTATATTGGTCATGGTATAAAGAAGCTGAAAGAATAAAAAAAAAGTTCCATTCTGTAATTATGGAACAGGATACATTTAAAGTGGAGGTTTTCTAATAAATTTCTTTTCTAAGTAATTTAAACATCTGCAAGACGCTTGCAGCAGTTTAGGTAGTGCATGTACAATTACATAGGTGTGACTAATATGTTGTACATATGGCAGCATGGTGTTTTAATTATAGTGGCTGCTAGTGACTGTCATAGACTGCAATTCATGCTGTGTCACAGATAACAGTAACCATAAAACAGTCCCTTGTTAGCAAAATAGTCTAGGAGGCTGTGAGACAAGTTTGTGCATATAAAGCTACAGTAGAGCCTAACATGATAAATGAGCTCCTGAACAGCAGATAATGAACCGAAAAGTTGTTTTAAGTTTCAGCAAACTATGGCAGTTGAGGATAGGGATATGTAATGAATGCTGTGACTTGCAAAGTCAGGGATATGAAGTTGATCACAAAATAACAGTGATGCTTAAATAATCCATCCATTTGTTAAAATAATATAAATATTAATATTGATGTTAAAATTTTACTGTGCAGATGCATAGTGTATGGATTTTGCCCTTGAGGAGGAAAAAAGACATAGTAAAATGGAAATACATCATTATAATGACTTTGACTGGGTTTTATTGATGGCATACTGCCTGTTCGTGTGTCTAGCGTTGATTTTTAGACGCTAAGCACAGCAGGGTGTGAATATATTTAAGGAATGGGTTTATGGGGACCTTTCCAACAACTGGAAGATTACAGTACT